CAGGCTGCTCTTACGGAAAGAATCAGCTCTTGGGACCCAAACCTCAAAAAACGTGGCATTCCATCACAACGTATTATCAATCTTTATGATAAATGGGGCCATGGTGGCTTTGGGATGATCTTGACTGGGAATGTATGCGTTGATCCGGTGAGATTGCCTTTCTTTCTATACAAAAATAATAGGATTGTATCCTAAGATACTGCAGTTGTTTTGGTTGAATGAATATCTACAGCTATTGCTACAGTAACTCTGTCTCAGTGAGAAGTGAGCGGTGTGGCACTTTAATGCGCCGCATTTGCTAATACTCAGGAAGATTTTCGATGATTTGCGTAAAACAAGCCATATTTTTGTCTCTGCTGCTTATAGCTTAATATTGTGAGGGAGACAGTTCGTAATTTTCAGTACAACCTTGAAGCTGCAGGGAATGCGATATTTAGCAAGGAGAATGACTGCCCAGCTCTTAGGGAGATTTGCAAGGAATGGGCAAAGACAATGAAGCAAGATGGTGCATTAGCAATAGTCCAGCTTTCACATGTGAGTTCAAACAGTTCTGCATTTGCAATCTAACACACACATGGCCGCTTGTATAAGTTCGGATTAATTACAACTTTTGTTCATCTCTCCTGACTGAAAAAAATCACTCTTTAGATCTATCTGAAAAAATTTTTTCTTTATTGTTATGCGTCTCACCGTAGTACTTTCTCATTTGAAGCTACAACAGATATGACATTTATACTAACATACTAGGCAACTCCATTGACTTTCCAAAAGAATCTATGATACCGGCCATCCATCGCAATCCTACCCTACCATAATCGAATGGCAAACTCTATAAAATTCTAGTAACTTTTGTGATTAAACAAGTAGCGACCTGTTCGGGCAAAGTCCCAAAAAACTTGAATTTTTTAAAAGTTTTTAAGACAGTGCTTTGCAAGATTTGGTACAAAGAAGGAACATTTTGATGATACTACTTTGACTGATGAAACTTTGCGGTTCTATGTGGTAGGATTAATAGAAGAAAATAACTTTTATTCATTTGGAGCACTTCCACAACTCGTTTATTGATCTGCTGTAACTTCAACTAAACCGGGTAAAGGCATTTTTGTTTGTTAGTATATATGTCAGTGCTCTGGTCTTTGAAGCTTCAGGAGGTAATTATTGTATATTAAGTATGCTAGTTGCTGGTTGAAAAAGCCCTTACAAAACTGATAACTGAAAAAAACGTAAATAAAATGATACGCTACATAGCTACTGGCGTCATGACCAGCTCATC